TCAATTTATTTAAACCTCTCTACAAACTAGGGTTTCAGAGATGACGTGGCATATTCTCTCACTGCATGATCCAATTATCGCTTTCTCATCTCACCGTTTATTTAGCCTCATCGTAATCTCTTAACATCGTCTTAACCTCTTAACCTCGTCTTAACCTCTTTGTATTCCCCTAATTTCTTTTCTCCTCAATATGACGAAGATCACAACGGCTCTTCTCTTCCATCACGGTTTCACAACAGCGTCATCTACAAAATCACAAAGAAGAAGACTAACAGTTTGCTAGATGAAGAAGATGAAGAATAAGAAGACGAAGAAGAAGCTGAGATAATATGAGAGTTAGGGTTCAAAAAAAATTATTTTATCTACATTTGATAGTTGCATTTGTTTAACAAATTTCTTTGTTTTCTTACGTTTTATCAGTTCTACTACTATTACTACCCAGGTGATGCCCGAATACGTAAAATCTAGTATAAAATATAAATTTGATTGACTCAAATTCCAAACTACAACTAAGAATAATTGTAAGACATTAACAATATAAAGATACAAATATTGGTTTGAAGATATATAGTATATGCAAACAAATAGAAGAGATATATATAAATTTGTCAAATATAATCCTTTTTATCTTCTCAATACTTCTAATTTCTGATCTTTCAAGCTCATCTCTAGAATCAATCCTTGCGATTGCAATATCAGCACTTCATGGATCAGATTAATTTATTATCAATATAAACAGCAAAGATACAATTTATAAACAAACTAATTGAGTTTAATACCTTATAACTCTTTTCAAATAAAGGTATGTGTACCTTTTCATCCAAGAGAATTCTATGCAAATTATTACACCATCACTACAAGAAAAGTGGAATCATTGTGACTTTTGTTAGAGACTAAAATATATAGTCACAAATTTGTGACTTACGTAGATACAATTTTGTAACATATTTTTTGTCATAAATTCGTAACTGTCACAATATTATAACGAACAAAGTCGTCTCTAATTATTGTCCCAAGTCGTGACGAAATAGTGTCGATAATAACTATTGTAACAACTGTGACGATTTTATTACTAATATGTACTTGTAAATTGTGACTTTAATTTGATACTCAAAATTTGTCACACATTTGTGACTTTTTAGATACTAAATTAAGACCAAAATATTTTGTAACAAATTCGTAATTATTTTGTCATAAGATTGTTACAGATTAATTAAGTCATGTAAACATTGTCTCAATCATTGACACAATTGTGAGGATAATTTCAGTCATAACAATTGTAATAGTTATGTGACATTTGTTTCGCAAAAATACATTCTGTAACAAATTTAATATGTAATTTTATATAGAGAATGTTCAATGAATTGTGGAGGAAAATAGAAATTAATAATAAAAAATCTTTAAAATAATATAGGAAAAATAATTATTCTTAAAAGCTAAAAATGCTTTCATTGTTTATAAAGTAAATAAAAAATTGAATTTAAAGCTAAACATCCATCTTAAGCTTGCTTGGTGTATATCCAACTCATAACTACCACTTATTCCCTGCTTAAACAACATGAATATAAACACTTAATTTATTTTTTTAGTAAAAGCAAAATACATAATTGACAAATATATATATTTTACCTTCGATTGTTGGTATTAGAACTAACAAAAGAGTTAATAAGAGCATGCAATTTCTTTAATTCGTCTTCTAGGTAATTGACTCGGCTTTTCAAAGAAATTATCTCTTCTTCAATGGTTGTTGTTGTAGTGCGATTCTGGTTAAATTTTCTTTTTGTGTAACTTTGGTTGTTTGCCGGTTTTCGAAAAATGCTAGACGTATTTTTGTAATCTTCCTCTATGTCACTTTCATCAATGATTAGATGATCAATTTATGTAATCTACAAGGAAAATAATTCATCATCTTGATATAAATTAAAAGTAATTCGTCATCTAGATAGAGATTAAAAATGGTTCAAAAGTAAATAGCAATACCTGTGTATGACAAACATCTAGATAGAGATTAAAAATAATTCATCATCTGCATGTTTATCTTTTAGAATATTTGAGCTTTAATCTTACATTCTTTAAGAAAGAACTTAGTTGGGAAACATGTTTATAGTCTAGGGATGTTATCATAGACTTGTCCAGCCCGTTTACGTCCGTGTTCATTTACGTCCGTCCGTTTACGTCCATGTCCATTTATATTCGTTTAAGTTTGTAGTCTGTTTATGTCCGTCCATTTAAAACTTGGTGGACAATAATGTCCATTTACGTCCATATATGTTTATTTTTAACTATTTTTGTGTATTTCATATTTTAAATCTACTAGGTAATAGTTTTTATTAATTTATTTTTAATATAAAATTTTTATGTTTTTATTTTGTAATAAATTATTTTAGAGGACTTTTTTAAAAGACTTATTATTAGAACAATATAAACGTAAGTGTTTCCGCCAAAACATTTTCCGCCAAAAAATAGGATTAAAAATAATTAGTATAAGATGAAGACAAAATGAATATAATAAATTAATATTAGTCACAAATGAATAGATTACTTAGTGGATATGGCAACCACACAAAAAAAAAATGCAATGGAGACAAAGATGGAAAATCAAAATGCAGAAATAGAGAATAAAACAATGGAGAATAATACCAAATGAGTCATTTAGAAGAAAAAAACGAATTGAATGAGAGTTAAATAGGAGATGAAAACGGTTACAAATTCTGGATGGTTACATCATGATTCTGAGTGGAAAAGGAAGCAAAGGAGGTTGACGGTATCTTGCTCCAACAAATAATCGGCCCCTCTTAGTGCATCTAACATCACACACTCAACAAAGTGGGGGATATACAATTCTTGAAAAAGAGAACGCCTTGTTTAAAAAAGATCTCCTTACCCATAAAAGCGATGTGAAATCTCACTCGACCAAAGGAGAAGCCACTACCTGATCGTCTTCAACTCTCGCTACGCGGCTACCTGAGAATCTCATTCCATTCAATCAACCACACTTCATGCAAGCAGAAACTTGACTTGCCGCTTTTGAGAGTAAGTTTCACTACAGGAAATTTCGATTTTAGTAGTGGTCGTATAATGCTATTTATTCGATAAGATACATCTAATGCATATATAGAAAAGAAAAGCTCTTCCGCAAGCCCTCATTGCTTGGCTATCGAAGTGGACTTGTACCTTTTTCGCGTGCGGCTATTTATCAATACTGTAGCGTTAAGAAGAGCGTTGTATCATCGCACGCTACCATTGGTCTGGACTTTAGATAATGGTTTTCTGTCATGCTATTTTAAAGCCTTATATTTTAGCGGATAGTAATATGTTATTGTACTTAATATAATAGTGTTATTTTTTTCTTGTCAATGGTGTCCACCTTGTGTCCCAACACTATCCGTTCGTTCACCATGAAGTGGCATTTCTCCCAGTTGAGTACTAGGCTTGTCTCCTCACATCTTGCCAATACCCTGCAGAGATTCAACAAACATGAGGAGAAGGCGGAGCCATACATGGAAAAGTCATCCATGAATACCTCCACCATCTCCTCTATCTAATCCGAGAAAATAGAGGTCATACACCGCTGAAATGTTGCACGCGCATTACACAAACGAAAAGGTATGCGTCTATAGGCAAATGTGCCATAGGGACACGTAAAATTAGTCTTTTCCTGATCATTTGGGTGGATAGGGATTTGGAAAAATCCACTATATCCATCAAGGAAACAGTAGTAGGGATGATTGGCTAATCTTTCTAACATTTGATCAATGCAAGGAAGAGGGAAATGATCTTTCCTAGATACAACATTCAGTTTTCTGTAATCAATGCACATCCTATGGCCAGTGATAGTCCTCGTGGGTATCAATTCATCTTTTTATTTTTATTTTTTATCATTGTAATTCATCCCTTCTTAGGTACACAGTGAACTGGGGATACCCAAGTACTATCAGAGATAGGATAGATAACCCCAGCATTCAACAGTTCAAGAACTTCTTTTTTCACAACTTCCTTAAGATTAGGATTCAATCTCCGTTGAGGTTCAATACTAGAGTATGATTCATTTTCCAAATTAATCATATGCATGCAGAGACTAGGTGAGATCCCCTTGATATCATATAAGGAATAACCTAAGGCCCTTCTATATTTTCTAAGCTCAGTGACTAGCAACTCTAATTTCTCATTATTCAAGCTAGCATTAACAATGACAAGATAAGTAGAGTTGGATCCAAGGAATACGTACCTCAGTCCTGAGGGTAGCGGTTTGAGCTCAACCTCGGGAGCTTTTAACTCTAACCAGTCATAATCCGCCGCTTTGATAGAGTCAACAGCTGGGTGAGTGATCGGGTTGTCACTGACTTCCTCCTCAACTGCGCATACCTCCTTGACAGACTGATCTAGTTCTTCAAAACGTTCTGAATCATCAGTTGTCTTGTAGGTATCCAGTAATGTTTTGTAGACCTTGGTCTCAGCATGAAGAAATCCATCTGATCCATTCTTTGTCAAGGCTGTCTTGAGATGATCCTCCTCAGCAAGTTCTTCTCGAAGTTCATCAGCTAGCTGATCCATCTCTTCTATCCAGAACACCTTGCCATTGATTGTTGGTTTCTTCATAGACTCCTTGATGTCAAATGTCATCTTGAAGTCTTCTCCCAAGCATAGGTCTATCTTTCCCTTCTTAACATCAATGATAGCTCCAGCAGTGGCTAGGAATGGCCTTCCAAGAATCAGGGGATCCTTAGGCTATTCATCTATTTCCAAAACGACGAAATCTGTAGGGACTTTAACAACACCAATCCTTATTGGCAAGTCTTCCAAGAGTCCATGCGGGAGCCTCACTGATCTATCAGCTAGAATGAGAGATATGTTGCATGCCTTGTATCTTGTGAATCCTAAACGCTTAGCCACAGACAATGGCATCAGACGCACTGAAGCTCCAAGATCACATAGGCATCTGCTGAATGATAGGGGACCTAGTGAACAGGGTAGAGTGAAGGATCTAGGATCCTTAAGCTTCAAGGGAGTAATTTTCTTCTGAATGCACTGCATTCATGACTCAATATCACCATGCCTTGGACTTCTTTTGCTCTCTCCATAACCAAATCTTTGAGGAACTTCTGATAAGGAGGGACAAGTGCGAATGCATCTAGCAATGGCATTCTCAACTCAATCTCCTTCACTTGCTTTTCAAATAAAGCCTTATACTTCTCAGTTTGCTGCTTTTTGAATCGTCCTGGAAATGGTAGAGGTGGTTTGTATGGTGGGGGAACGTATCTCACAGGCTTATCCTTGGAGGCTGCAAGTGTTTCAGCATGTTTTTCAGCAGGTTGAGGAGTTTCTTCAGGTACAACCGGATCTTCACTCTGATATACATCCTCCCCTTCCAAGTCTTCACTGTCCTCAGTGACTACAACAGGTCCTTGTCTTGGAGGCAAGTTTTTACCGCTCCTCAGCGTGATGGCATGAGCAAACTCCTTAGGATTCTGAACAGCTTTTCCTGGGAGTTGGCCAGGCTTTGTGGCAGAAGTAGAAGCAGTTTTGCCCTCCATATACTTGATCTTGGAATTCAGAGTCTCAATCTTCATATTCAGATCATTGTATGAGCAGTCCAATCTCTGAGTCAGCTCAGCAAACTTCTTAGCATTGTCCATGGAGCCACTTGCTTGTCCCCGGAGGAGTTGCTGAATCATATTTTTCATGTCATGGTCTGGTGCCTGAGGAGGTAGAGCGTGTTGAGGTTGGAATCCTGGTGGTGGTCATGCTGGAGGGTGGTAACCTTGCTAAAATTGTTGTTTGGACACATAACCTTGGTTGTAGGGCACAAATGGCTTGTTTTGCCCCTATTGCTGCTGCTGTGGAGGTGGATAAACCTGATCCTGGGGATTTGCAACATTGGTGCTGCTATAAGACAGATTGGGATTCTGCTTATAAGGGTTATATCCCTTGTTGTACCCACCTTGGTTCTGGACATAGCTTATCTCCTCAGATTGTTCTCCCTCCCCATCCATAATCTGGTAAGGATCTTCTTCAGAGACAAAATGAATGTTCCTCTGCTGGCTCATCAAGATTTTGTCCAGCTAATCATTTACAACTTTCATCTCCTTCTTGTACTTCTCATCAAGATTTGTGCTTGCCCTGATGGTTCTATTATAGTCTTCATTATAGTTACCATCTGATTGAGACAGGTTCTCAACAAGCTCCCAACCATCGTTGACGTCCTTGTTTAGAAAGTTTCCATTGCTGTCAGTGTCAAGTAACATCCGATAAAGAGTACTGAGGAGAGACTCCTTGGTGAAGACATGGTGGGGGCACTGAGACTGATAACTTTTAAAGCGCTCCCATGCTTCACAGAGTGTTTCACCATTCTTCTGAGTAAACCCAGAGATCTTGTTGCACAGACGTGCAGTTCTGGAGTTGGAGAAAAACTTGGCAAGAAACGACTCCTTGCATCGATCACAAGAAGTGATAGATCCTAGAGGAAGAGTTTTCTCCCATTGATGAGGTTTGTCATTCAGAGAGAATGGAAAGAGTCGTAGCTTGAAACCGTCCTCACTGACCCCATTGATCTTGGTGAGACTACAGAGACGATCGAACTCATCGAGGTGATCCAGGGGGTCTTCCATAGGCAGACCATGAAATTTATTCTGCTGGACCATGGAGATCAGACCACTCTTGATTTCAAAGTTGTTGTTCTGCACGGCTGGAGACACTATACCCTGACGATGAGTATGGTTGCGTGGTGGAGGTGGTTGTTCATGGTTTTCCATCTCAACTTGTTGTGATGTAACTCTATTGCGTTGCTGTCTTGATGCAGGTACCAAACGATCAGAGGGCTGGAGCAAGTTTTTTGTGCCTTGCGACCGTGTGTGCATACAACTCAAATCAACTTAGCTCGCGAGATGGTTGAGTGTGTCAGTCGAGTAGGAGCAATTGAGCAAGAGTTGTACTTGAATCAATAGACAAGCAGAAAGAACAAAGTGAGTAACTGTAGTGAATGATGAATAAGAACTTGATCTTAGCAAGTCTGAAATCTCAAATGTAACAAACAAACACCCAAATGGCAGCGGCGCCAAATTGATACTAGGATTTTTCTATCAATTACCCTAGAGTACTATCATGTCATTGCAGTACAATAGGTATCAGTCTATTCAGGTGTGATGCTAGCAATCAAGATGTATCAGAAATGATTAAGTGAAGCAAAGTATAAATGATTTTGGTTTTCAATGATCCTAAGCGAACATGTTAAACATGCAATAAATGTAAGGGTGCAAAACATAGACTAGCATGCATAAGCTAAAATGTAACGATTATTGATACTGGCAAGAAAACAAAGCAGAACAAGTAAATAACAAGAGAATTAATCAGAAAGCACAAATGTATAGAAGATCCTGAGGATGAGGTTATTGATGTAGGTGGAGTATGCTAATCTACTTAGAGTGTTTAACAAACGACAAGCATACTAATCCCTAGACAATAAACTTCTAATACTAGTCAATCCAATCTCTTGGTAGAAACTATCAAGTTTACAACACTTCCTAATCTCAATTCTCATAGATGAAACATGTAGTAAACATGCATGAAGCAACAATTCATTAATGTCAATAAATATCTTAGAAAACCAATCTCTTGGGCTAAGCGTGTAAATCTCTGGCACTAGTTGGTTCAGACATTTCATCATACACCTTTCGGGCATGGAATGTCTATGACCTAGTTCCAATTGATCAGAGAAGAACTAGCTTTGAATACACTAATCCAGAAGGGAACAAACGAATCTAACTTAAACACTCTAGCAAACTAACATTCTCCACCTAATCTATCTCATCCTCAAGAACCCTAACACTACTCAAACACAGAAATCATGTTAAACATCATGAAACCAGAGTCGTTCAAAACATGCATAATAATAAAGATGACAGGAAGAGTAACAACAATGATTCAAGAACTAAAATATCAATAACTTAAAAGAAATCTCAATTACAATTCTCTAGATTGTTTGGTGGCTAACAAGAAAAACCTAAGGGTAAAAACTCGATCCCTTGGGCGATGCCAAAAGAGATCTATTTATAGCAATGTTTGGGCAAAACTTAAAAACATAAAACGACAAAGTAAAACGCGGTTTAAGAGTTGTTGTGACTAAATTGGTCGAGTGAGCATCTCGAGTAAGCATCTTTTCTGCTTTGCTCGATCTTGTCACTCGAATGTGCGCGTCGAGTGACGGTTGATCCTGTTTCGCATTCGTTCGGTTCACTCGGTCCCCCTACTCGATCCACCACTCGATCAACCTACTTGATCACGTCCGCCGAGTGAAGTATATTTCTGCAACGCATCTCTGCTTCTCACTCGATCGTCCCACTCGATCAGTCGTATGTCGAGTAACGCTTGTTCCTCTGCTTCGCTCTGCATGTCTCCTAAGTACTTGAAACACTCCAAATATGCAGAATGTATGCAAGACATGCATGATATGCATAAAACCTACCTAAGTATGTAAAACATGCAGAAAGTGATCAAGATGATGCGAATCAACAAATGAATGATGATGAATACATGCCCAAAACGCGATGAAATACAGACTTATCATGCACCTATCTAATCAATATACTCACGTTCCAGACCTTATTTGCTCATACTCATGCACTTCCCCCATCCACATGTCGTAACATATGAATCATACCCACTCATCCTCAAGCCTCTGCCTTAGACTACGTTATCCAGGAAGTTCCACTACTTTCTCCGCACTCAGGTCGCAATCTTCGAGTCATACCGGCTTGCTATTAGGCCCCCAACCTTCAAGCTACGATATCCAGGGAGTCTTACGCTAGCACTCGGGTCGTCACCCTAAAGCGTGCTTTCGAATCGTCATCCAAGGTTATCACATAACATCCGACCAAATAAGTCTAAATGTCCCCGAGCATATCTCTAGATTAGATATACCTCATGTGGTTCCCATATAGCATCGCAATGCTATACTAACCACAATCATGAAAATTTCCAAAAAAGAACCGTCAAACCCGACACTTTCTATTTTAGAAGCTCACACATATTTCTCTTACTTATGACACAAATAAGTCAAATCCAAGAAATACTCATCTTACTAAACTCAAATGTCATAATCGTTACAACCACTTTCGGAACCTTGCCTTCATCCTGGCCACTGGCTCCCAAGTCTCCCCCAAGACTCCATCACAGTCCACTTGACTTTCATCAAAGGAATCTTATTACGCCGAAGTTCCTTTACCCGCCTCTCGAGAACCCACACTGGTCTCGCCTCTAGAGTCATGCTGGCTGAAGATATACTGGAATCTTAGCCAACACCTCATCATCCTTATGTAGACACCTTTTCAGCAGCGACACATGGAACACCTTGTGGAACGCCTGCATAACCTCATGTAACACCAACCGATACGTCACCGGTCCAACCCACTCCACAATCCTGAAAGGACCCATATACCTCGTACTCAGCTTAGTCTCAGTAACTGACCTGTTAGGACCACGCAACATCGCCATCTTGAGATACACCGTATCTCCAACCTCAAACTCCAACTTCTTGCATTTCTTATCAGCATAACACTTCTGCCGATCTTGCGCCTCCTTCATGTTCATCTTCAGAACCCGAATCTTTTCTGAAGCCTCCTGAAAAAGTCTGCACCATAAATACTCCTCTCCTGGACGTCCGACATATTTGTGCAAGGGCCAAATTCTTTTATGCAAGGCCCAATATTTTTTATGCTTATAATCCTTCTATTTTGTGATAGGCCCAATTTAAAATTTGATTGTCATTTCTAATTTTTAAACAAAGTATAATTATTTATTTTGTGTTTAGTAGTTTATAAACAAAGTAACTATTTTAAACAAATATGATACAAAAATTTTTTTTATCTAATATAATGTTTATAAACAATTATAATTATAGGCCCAATAAAAAATATGATACAAATTAGTACTTTATAAACAAATTATAAACAACTTATAAAGATCTATTTTGTGCTCTGCAGATCTGAATGAAAAAGGTGAGGTCAACTCATCCAATAGAGGTGCCTCAGATGGCTAAATTTTAGAAGATTACAAACTTATTTATTGTAACTAAAATGTTCATATAATTTTGCCGTAAATGTGCGGAATTAAAAAATAACACTTTGGATAATACTAAATTTCATTTAAAATTACAAATAAGCACATATTTCTATTTTAAATAGAGGAAATGATTGATGATATTATTTTTAGAACAATACATATTTATTACTCCGACTCAGAGTCTGATCCATAAGAGGCAGAATCTGAATCTTCTTCAAAATCTCCAAGCTCTTCTTCAGAAACTATCACCAAATAATAACCTATTAATTTCCTACAAATTTATTTCCTTCTAATTTCCTACGAATTGTTTTCCCTCCTTATATCTATTGATTTCCTATGACATTTCCTTCCACTTCTTCCTTGAAGGCATTTCGTAGGAAGAATTCCTACAAAATTCTCTCTGCGTTATTTCCTTCGAAATTCATTTACTTTTTCTTCACGATCTCATACAAAAATATTATTTAAAATTGGTAGAAAATATTTCTTCCACTTTCTGACAGCGTTTCTTGTAGTTAAATGCTCTACATTTTTCCTACCCTTTGGGTTTTCGTCATAAATGCAAAGTTTTTTAGTAGGAAAATTTTCCTACCATTTATTTTGTATGAATTTTTGTAGGATATCGACATGTTTTCTTGTAGTAAAAGAGGCCTTCCACTCATAATTAATCTAGGGCTTGAAGGAAAAGGATAGGTTTTTGGTTAAGCTGAAGTACTTGGACCAATAAAGGGTGGTAAAAATAGATAAAATATTCCAAGTATGTATATAATATCCATGAGTTTATAGCCAAGACACAACCAGATAACTGCACCAAAATTGATCCAACCAGTCTATAATTTTCAAGTTTTTTTGCACCCAAAAAGTGCAATTTTTTTATATATTCAAGTTTTACTGTTTTGACAAAAAAGTATGACCATTGCAATACATTTTTCTAAATAGGTTTTTAAGTTGAGTTTGGTAATCGTTTAATTTTATTTAACTGAAAAATTAATAATAAATCAAATCTCTTTGTAGTATAGTATTCTTTGGGATTAATATTTCACTTTATTTTTATAATTTATAAGATTTTTATATATATAGTCATATTTATTCCCACAAATTTTGGTCACGATTTTCAACAAAAATAAGATAACAGTAAACATTGTTACTATTACAATCTCGTGAAGAAGTTTCGTTCTTATCGTAGTCATAATCATAAAAATATCTCTCTTTTTCAATATTTTAGGTTTATTTTCAATATTTGTTTTCTTATAGTTATGTTATTGTTATGATTAGAAATTTAGGGAAAATGAAAAATAGGCAAACGATGTTTATGATTGTGTTAGTTTCGTTGAAAATCGTGATCATGATATGTGGAAAATTGGAAAGTTGAAATAGTTCACGTAATTTTTATCATCTATAAATTAGTTTGCGTATTTTTCTGTTAACGAAAAAAGTTCATGTTTTTTTCTGACAAATATTAATTAAGTCACATTTTTTTTTGGGAATTTTTCCCCATTATAAATCTCATTAATGCAGTCAATCATTGGAAGTATAATCATTTTAGAAAATATATTATGCTACATACATTTTAACAATATTTTTTGTAGGGGTTTTCAGTTTCATTTATTTATTTTAATTATTTTCTATTTATTTAAATATGCATTAAATAAATATTTTAAGATATGTTTTAAAACAATTTTGATGAGGTTGATGCTGATGTGGATAGCCTAGATAGAGAGAGAATTCTCCTATTATATATATATTTATATTTACATGGCGGATATAGTTATGCATTTCTCGACCTCCAAGAATTGATCTAGCTTCCCGATTTTGGATTTTACATTATTTTTTATTTTGGATAATAATTTACTTTGGATTATTTATAGTTTTTATTTTATTAAATTATCATAATTTTGTAACACTTTCAATTTTAAAAATTGTTTACTTTTATAAGTTGTCACTTGTCAGGAAAAATTGGTTGTGCATCGAAATACACCCTGAAATCCATCGTACATTATCGTGTGTTGTCATTCTTAAAGGCTATCAAAGTTTTGTTAGAATACCTTCAGAATAGAAAATCCATGGATTGCCAACATTTGTTTGACGTGCCAAAAGGGCGACCAAATAAAACCGCCATAAATCTGAAAACGCATATTTGTGACTAGACCAGTATGTTCGAGTATGCATGTATGATTCATTGCATGTATGTATAAGCATAAAGTAAATAAAGCACAAGCTTTGTTAACGGGGTTCGGATAACCTACATCCCCGGGACCTAGTCTAGACTTCATTAACTAGAAAAGTTCGCAACCTACAATTGCTATATGGAATCCACCAACTCTTTCCTAGAATTGCAATGAAAGAAGACTACCACTAATTGTCTTTTCCGACTAGTGTAGATCTTCTACAAAACCACCAAAAGATCTCTCTATCTTATTGATGGGGCGACGCCACACAACTTGTGTGCATCTTCTCGAGAATACCCTGAGGCGCGCACGTCTTCATGAAGCGCCCTCTTGTTATTTATAACAATTGCTCAACCCTAAAGATTGACAATTTTTCCCTATTCCTTCACCAAATAGGAATTGACAAATTTCCTTTGTTCTTTATAGATAAGGAAATTTGTCTTTCACGTTCTCATAATACATTCAAGATGTTCATCCAGCTCAGCATTCGCCTCTTGGCTTGTACAAGTCAGTTCCAAACTTCTGTACTCCAACTCTTCAAGTAGTCACACAGCTCGGCTTCTTGTATTGCCTCATGTACTACTTCAAATACTCGCACAACTCACCTTCTTGTACTACTTCCTGTATTAACGTCAGAACTAGTACAAGCACTGCTTCATCTTCTATGACAATTCTATCCAGTCACTTCATGTATCATCGTAATATGTTGACATGTTAAGATAGCTTATAAAACTCATTCAACACCACATCTTCAAAATCAATTGCAATATGTTGTTTCTTACGGCTTACCAACGGATTTGGTCGCCAATAACAGTATTGTTGATTTTCTATGATTAATGGCGTACTATACAAGCTTGTAATCACTGGCTATTTTTACAATATGCATACAATATAAGAGCCGATATCATTCTTACAATATGTAATCACTGGCTATTTTTACAATATGTAATCACTAGCGATTTTTGTCATTCCTAAAGACTGTAAAGAAAACTTCACAATAGAAAATCCATGGATTGCCAACAATATTTTTTTGGAGTGCCAACAATTATTTCTATATTCTATATAAGTCGACAAAAAGGACGACAAACAACATCCGTCATAAATCCATTGCAATAAGCCGTTTCCTATGGATTACCAAATGATTTGGCCGCCAATATATAACAGTACTGTTGAATATCAATGATTATTGACGTATACAAGCTTGTAATAACTAGCTATTTGTACAATATGTCAATATGCATACAATGTATGAGTACAATTCTAAAACTATGTTGGATTTTGTTTTACAGAACGTTCAAGCGCAATCTCAAAAAGATCAGCATCTGAATCTTCGTCATAGTCAAGCTTACGTCTATGACTATTTCCCACTGTGGTCCTCCCGCTTTCAATCTCATCACTATTTCCTCTAGTACTGAAAAAATTGCTTAAATATCGAGGATCTATTCTTCCAATGGAGAACAGCTCCTTGCTGTCTTCGAGCCCGGCTGTAGTACCAGCACATGGGTTGGGTGTGCGCTGCCCGTTGGCTGGGCCGTAATAAAATGGAGATTGTCCCAAGTTGACGATTACTGTGGCCTCTGTCTGGGAAGCAAGAGTAGGATAGAGAGGTGTCCCAAACTCTTCAGCTTTACAATTAATGACGTGAACTAAGTGTGAGTTAACTGTGAAGTAAACCTTCTTCTTCTTCGGATCGTAACCACAACCAACCACTGTGTTTTCCTTCGCCCACTCATGTTTTTCCGATTCACAAACCAGCTTCATTCCTAACATAAACAGAGAGTAATGGTTAAGAATCTATATATAGGGCGTCGGTCTAGCGAATTTTGCAAAGGCTACAAACTAGTAACAATAATAAACTTACAATATTTAAACAGTGTGGAAAAAGAATCAATGACGCTATATCTTTCTTTAACATCACAAAACATAACCATCATCTTTTAGCTAATTTAATTCAACTGATCAAATCGTTCACAACTTTACTATATGTTCGTGAAAGGAAAGAAAAAAAATAATAAAATCTTCAGTTCTAATTAGTGAAAAATTGGTTTGTGTTTTGGGTTTTTAAAAACTAATCAGAAACAACAAATAATCTCCAATATCCATAAACACAACTTAATTATTATTTAAACCATTTCCTTAAATCATAAATCAGCAAAGAAATATTAATTTCGGATTTTTTATTAATTCTAGTTTACAAATTTTGGTTTTAAATCATAGTCTTATAATTCGGCTAAAAATGATATCATACCCTAATATATCAAACTAATTTTTGTAACTAAATATCAAACATGACACAACATATCTTAACAACGAATAATCACAGTTTTTAATCAACAAATCTAAATTTTTGGTAAAGCATGCCCATCAAACATAGCGCAAAATTTTTTTAGTAAAGCATGACCCAGAAAACATAAAGCAAATAAAAAATTAGTAAAGCAATAGTCAACGCATGGCCAGAATAATATTCTACTAAATAAATAGAGTTGTTGTTTGTTGGCCTTTGGTCAACAAAAGCAATGAGGTGTGATAACAAATGGGGATTCTAGATGATGTGGAAGGTTGGTTTGTGACCAAGATGTTAGTGGCTCTCCATTCCTTATTACCAAATATAAAATCCCAAACTTAATAGGACGGCCAACTTTTATATACCTTACCGTTTACTTTTCTGCTACAATCTTTCTATGGAAGATTGATTAAGGAGTTTGAAGATCGATTGGAACTAAATGATATAAAAGACCGATGCAAATAGACAAGTAAATATACGTACCATCAAGATAAACAGAACCGTCCGATTGGAACCCAATGGAAGCCAAGAACTTCCCTGGTAGTCGTGTCTCGCCCCCGCTGAAGAAACCACCGGTCGCTAGTCCTAGGGACAAAACTGCCTCTTCATTTTCCCCATCCCATTCTCTTGTTTTAATATGTTTTAGTCCTTGACTCTTGAACAACTTGGTTTTTTCACCTTCGACTAATTCAACGTCACAACCTACGTTACCACCACGGCTTCGTTGGAGTATTTCCAGGATTGTGATTTCAAAGTAAGCCTCTTGTGGGAAAGTAGAACTTAGAAGTTGTGGTCCAGGAAGTGGTAAAGCTGCTCGCAGAACCATCAAAGGGTTTTTTGCGTTGACCGTATCTTTCAACGCTTGATTAAACTTGATCGTTTGTGTGAATTCCACGGAGCCATTTGAGACTTCCCATGTGATCACTACACCAGGATTTTCGCTTCCTGCCGTTGTGCAAAGCCCTAAAAGAACTGATCCTGGGGAGGACGCAGTCACCAAAGGAGCTGTTGCATGAACAAGGAATCCAAACCTCGTCCAACCATTCTCTACCGCTTCGGTCACCAAAGCTGGATGATCCGTCCAGAGGAATAGACCAGGCTTCAACGGGAATCCTCCCGTTTTGCTGCGGGAGACTGGATAGTTGTTGATATTTCCTCTGCGTTTGGTGTCAGAAGTATCTAGCTGGTGGACGAGACTGGTCTGGTGGAGCTTTGAGATTCTAGCCTGGAAGCTATTGCTCCGAAAAGGACTGGCCGAGTTAAGGGTTGTGCTGATCTGTGGTTGGCGGAGACAGCACCAGCGACGGAGGAAGACAATAAGGAGAGAAGAGAGGACAACGAAGGAGATAATACCTGCGGTTAAATGGGCCCAACGAAGCATCTCTGGGATCGAACAAATTCTAAGATAGGGAGAGCGATGTATGGAGAAAAAAGGAGAAAGATCGAAACTACAAGAAGAAAGCCATATAATTTCTGAAACATTAATATTAAATCATTTGTTGAATTATATTTTAAACTTTACCTCAGGGAATAATATACAACTAGATCAATACCCCGGCTGTAGGCCTGTAGCACGATTAAAATTTAAGTATTTTTTCTTATTTTTTTGATATATTATATTAATTTTAAACAATCTCAACATATAATTTATATTCTATATTTAACTCATCGTCCGATCATAATTCTGTCATCATATAACTAATTACGTCTAAGCTGTATTCTGCTATAACAATTTTCAAAAACAGTTGACCAAAAAAAAAAATTTCAGAAATAAATTTATTTTTAAAAAAGAATTGAAGTATTGTTGTACTTTTTATTTTTTTGATATGTTTACTCTTTCTCATATTCTAATAAAATATATAATCAAAATATTTTAAAATGTATCAAATTAAAATATGTAAATAGTTTATTTTACTACATAAAATTATGCATTTTAACAAAATAAATAAATGAAACTAAATATTAAAATATTTTAAAAACTGATCAGATACTTAGTCAAAATTTTGCTTGAATATATATTATTTAGTCAGAATTTTTAACGAGTACTATTTTCTAATAGATTCCACAATTAATAGTTGTTCAAAAAAATATAATGACAAAAAAAAAAGTTGTTCGAAAAAATCAAATCGTGGTGGAAAAAAATAATATTATATAGATGACATGATGATTTATTTGTTTCATGATGCATTCAAATTTGCCCTTACCTACCCTATCAATTAAGAGAACAGTGTAATACTTAGGGATCCAATTTCACAAGGACTTAATGTTTATATAAATAGATTATTGAGCGAACTCAAATCACAGATTTATAATCATTGCAAAGATTATCTATGTCTAAAACTCTAAATTCCAAATTTCTTTGCATATTTAAAAGTTTAGACAAGCATTAAATATTAGGTTTGATTTTTTTTTTTTTGGGCAAACTAGACTTTTATAGATAACTCTAGTCTCCAACAATGGAGAAATTGTTAAGCAAATACAACAAAAAGGCTACAAAAGCCAAAGAAACCGCACCTAGAGATGCCAACCGGTAAACATGAAAGAAAATGATAGAAGCATAAACAACAATTAAGCAACTAAGAGTGCTAAAACGTGAAATGAAGCTTTGGAAATCAAAGAGCACACTTGGTGATCTACGGTCCAGAGATGCTGCATCCATGACTGAATAAATAGCATCCTGAAAAATAGCTACAAAAGCAAAGGCGACAAAGCACCAGCTTCCTGAGCCTACGAGATGTGAGGGAAACCTCAACTTGGGAGAAGTGTGGGGTTGCAAAAACCACCAACTCTCGATGAACAAATCTGGTATCCAAGACCCAAGATTGTCACATGTTAAGACGTACAATGTCTTTTCGATAAACCAACGTGAAACCAAACCAAAGGAACGATAACACGAATTGACCTTGGCCACAATTTCTGAATAGCATCCTCAAAAGGAGGTAAGAGAAGCATAAGCTTAAACAGAATCGTAAACTCCTCATACTGAGGTAAAGGAATCCGAAATCCAATCGGAAACAAAACAGCCTCATACTGAGGTAAGAAGAAACAGAGCTTAAGAGAACTCATAGCAGCCTCATACTGAGGTAAAGACAGCCTAAAACTAGCCGAAATCATTTCATCCTCATAGTGATAAGAAAAAGAAAAAAGGCATGTTCCAAAAGAAGGCCAATAGTCCAGAAAAATCACTACCTCTTACCAAAACAAAACCTTGAGATAAAGTGACTAGAGAATGGGAGAGACGAGGGGTAGAGAACCAGAGCTCCAAAGAGGCAAGAGGAAGTGACTGGTACCACGCACTGCACACAACAGTAAGATATCGCAAGGAAACGAAAGGAGTGCCATCAAAGGGCATAAGAGGAACCAACACAACCCATGCTAGAACAAGTTTTGATTGAAGATCTGCAAACATGAACAGCATAATAAAAGGAGAGAAGGAAGAGAGACCGACGAGACCATATGTTGGGTCAGGAGGATCGGGAGGTTCCGGAGGAGCCATAACATTGGACAGATGTGGCAGAAGAGCAAACGGCCACAGATCTGGAAGAGGGAGAATCCGAGGTGGAACAAGAACAGGAGCAAACACCAAAGAAGCCATGAGAGAAAGGAAGAGGAGGGAGAAAGAGGAAGATTCTCGCCGGTGGGCGAGAGGCCACACCGACGGCGGCGGCTTAAGACAAAACCCTAATCGCCTAGTTGAGAGAGAAAAACTGCAATGATATTAACTAAGTATAAAGATTAGGTTTTATAAGTTCACAAAATCCTTTAACCAAATTTTCTTACAAATAAGAATTTTGTTCATCTTTGAGAATTTTCAGAAAATCAGTAACACCTTCGTCTCTACCGATTAACATAAAATCATATTATAGTTTACTTCTACTACTTTAAAATAATAATAAATACAATCTAGACGAAGAGCTTTATTGACTAAATCCTAACAATCTAACAACCTAACAATTCATGGTGAATGATACAAACATTACTTACTAAGAAAATGAGTAGTTTGAGGCTCCTCAAACTATCCACATCATCAGAAATAAACACCTTAGAGTGACACCACGTGGCTTTTATGTAAAAGTTTAACCTTTTTTATATATGATCTTTCAAGTTTCAACTATGAGAACCAAACAATTCATCTTTCCTAATTAATTTGTCAGTTTAACTATGAGAACCAAACAATTCCTCTCCCCCAAATAATTTGTGAGTCATGACAATGTCGATCCTTTTTCCTCATATTTCGCGTTAATCTAATTAATTGCGATCACGTGCCCTTTACCCTTGCTTTCCTACTGAAATTACGATGAAATGTTCCGATCATCAACATCCAACGTGGTGGACAAGCATCCTCAGCCAAACATGGTTAAAACGTGTAGCTAGAAAGAAGAACGGTAACGTTTTGGCATGGTGGTGACGAAGACGTAGGTAGCATGAGTTAACCGGCGGAGGAGTATGTCAGAGACTTGACAGAACATGATTAAAAGGGAGAGATGAGAGATCTTTTGAACGGCAAGATTTCTAATGTTACGTCATTTACTTTGTTTTTTTTTTTTTTGCTATGGAGAAGTTAAGTAAGTAAGTATGGAGCATTTAGAAAATAAGAACTGTTGTGTTGTCTTTTCTGCTTTTGTATATATGGAAACACTTTAGTATGACTATAGTATTTTATATAAAATTGTGAAATCCATTCGATTGGTTTAACCCCTCTCTAAAGGAGACCCTCTTTGTCTCTTGAACCTTTTCATACATAGCCAAATGAGTTTGTATTCACTTCACATCCAGATTCATGGTTACTACTTAAAGAATGTTAAAAGGAATAGTTGATTTGAATGCTTGTCTAGGTTCTATGACTGATGACATTTTGTGTTGAGATTAGCATGGCTAAAGTCTTCAGAGCATGGTCTATATGATTTGCATTCAAGAACTGTAGACAACGACATTGGTTTTAACTACTTTAGCAGCAATTATTGATTCTAAATCCCACCTTCAAACCTCTTTTCCTATTTTGAATTTGCTTGAGGCCAAGAAAGAATAATTTTGGGGGAGTAGATGTGTCTGGATTTTACTCATTTTAGCACTAGTTTTATGCATTGTGTTTGTCATTCTAGGTCTCATTACTTGATCATTTATGCATATTTGCCTTGTTTTGCTTCACTTGTAGAATCTAGGCCTTGCATTGCATGCACTGTTATTTTTGTGCATAAACAGGTGTTTACCGAAGTGAAAAGAAGCAAATAAGGACAAATCGACCAAGTGTAGATGTTGCATCCAATCGAGCAGAAGGATCCGAGACATGGAATCGATCGAGTGTTCGAGTGGACCAGAGAAGCAGCTCGACCACCCATTTGACCAAGTCATCCGACCAGACCGATCAGGCACCGTTAAACCGACTCTCTATTTTGTCTGCTAGTGTTTTAGGGCTACCTAAACTTGCTATAAAAGGCTCTTCGCCTAATGACTTATTATCTCGAGTTGTATTAGGGTTTTTCTTTCTTTTCCTTTAGAATTTTCAGAATCTTATAAACTCTATATCTTTTGATCTATTGTATTTTCTGTTGTTTCTTTGTATTATCTTGCTTGTTAGATCATTATCTATCTAGTTATGCATGATTTAGAGATTTCTGGGTTGAGTTCTTAATTATGTTTGTCAGATCTGAGTAGATTCTTAAGGTTTTGGGATGAGTTAGATGAGTAGGTGGAGAATGTTACGTAGCTAGGTTGCCTATAGGTAGAAATATTTAGAATTCCTTCTGGATTAGTGTATATAACAATAATCCCATTCTGATCAAGTGGTGATTAGTTCTCAGGCTTCCACGCCCGAGAGGTGTTCGATGGAATGTCGGATAATCTAATACCAGAGAATTTCATATCTAGCCCAAGAGATTGGTTGTCTAGAGTGTTATTTGAAATTAATGAGCTGAGTCTTAATGCCTATTCATTTCATGTTTTATCAACTAAAAGTTGAGATTAGGAAGTGATTTGAATTTGATAGCCTTTGTCAAGAGATTGAACTGGTTAGCTTATGAGCTTGCTGTCTAGGAAACAACATTGTTTGTGTTTGATTGATTTTGCAACCTAGTGAACTTAAAGGTCTCCATTGAAGTCACCATCTCATCCCCAGAACCTCCCTTTAATGGATTGATTTACCTTGCTTCGTTATTGTTCTTGCATTTGTAGTTCACTACATGTTCTTATCACTGAAGTTTCATTTCAGTTTTAATTCAATGTTGTGTATCGCTTAGTTTCTGCTTGATTTAAATTCTGTAGTTGATAGTATAAAACCTTTCCTGCTTGGCTTAACTTATTAAAGATTGATTGTATCTAAACTGTTTGCACGTGTCCTTATGAATCGATAAAGGCTTTTATACTACAATTAATCTGGGTGATTGATACCAAAAGCGTAGAAAACCTATTATCAATTTGGCGCCCATGCCATTTGGACGTTGAATTTGTTCCAGTTTGGATTTCAGTTTTGCAGGATTAAGTTCTATATCACTTTCACTTTTAATACTAATTTGGTTTGCTTGTCTGCTTGTCTGTCTTGATTTTCAGGTACCACTCGACCATGCAATCGACCAATCCAACTGATTGCCCTGCTCGAGTACCTAATTGATTTGATGGTTTGGATAGTGCAGATGTATTCGCTGGACCAATTCATGATGAATATAAACTACCAGCACCACCACACTCTATGAACTTTCTTATCAGTTTCAAGGTGGCTATTATCAGCTTATGGCTCCCCAATATGGTTTTGAA